TTTCATCAGCACATGTTATCAAAATGTCACAACACAACCAGAATCCCAGAAAGTAATCCTTATAAAAAAGCAGAAAAATTTCCCAGATAACAGAAAGTTCAGAAGACACTATGACTGCATTTTTCCACCTACTACCCCTACAAACCAACGTGGCAATGAATGAATGATGGATAAATGCACTCAAACAGGAATCATTCATTCAACAGTCACCTATTCGACAGTCAGCCCATCATTTAGTGTAGTGGGGGTTGCCAAAGGCATGCAAGATATGTGGCCTGAGAGCCCTTGACTTCTAAGTAGGAACACTAGCAGACATGTGAAGCCACTAAGGAAAAAGAAGTTCTTTAATAGCAGCCTCTTGTTGTAGCATTCCCAACCTCTCTCATTCCCAGGGAGGTAACATTTCACTTGGTAATAACCAAGTCCTCAGAGGGGTTCTTATCCTTTAAAAGATCTTTCTCCCAATTTTCTTCAGTTTCTAAGAGAACATAAAGAATAGACCCTTATTAATAATTCTGTTGTCCCAGAATTAAAGCAGACCCACAATTCTCTTAAAATCGACTGTTCTGTTTGCTTAGATGTTGTGGGTGCTTCGAGAAGGACGTGGGGAGGCAGGGCCATGCGTTACCTGATCTTTTGAGAAGTGAGGGCAATATACCAGTCTATCAGGGAGGTTGTGATCACCGCTTGCGATTAGTGAGTTTGTATCTTACCAGACAGAAAGCATCAAAGGCAAAGACATTTTTCCAAAACAGCCTGTGCTTGTTCTGGTCCAAAAAAGCATAGAAAGCTCAAGAAAATACTTACATATGAAAAAAGAAAATAAGCTGACAAAAAATGTTCTAGTTCTCAGACTTTATTTGGCAGGAAAAAAAATACAGTGACACCAAACAAACCTGTCTATACCCCCAATATGCCGTCTTATTTTAAACCTACCTTTTAAATCTCCAGTCTTTACACAATATTCCACTTTTAGTGGTACCAAAATGTCTCAGATGTTGCTAGTCTATAACCAAAGAATAAGGTCATTTTTGCCTGTATTGCTCATTCTTCTCTCACTAATTGTCAGAAATTAGCCTCCTGCCCCATGGAGCCCCCCACCCCATAGAGCCCCCCAGCTATTATGAATGGTTCCATGGTGCCACCTCTGTGTGCTCAAGAACAGACCTCAGTTTTCCTATTCTAGCCTCCTCCTCATGTCACCTTGCCACTGCCTCTGCTCCTAGGACCCTCATGAAAAACTGCTGACCCACAGGGCAAAGGTGCCCTCTACCTGGTGACTGCTAATGCCACACACTGCCTCCAACATGGCGATGGCTGGAGACACTGCTCTCATCTTTTTCCCTCCTTCTAATGCCCGGGACATATGCCCTTATTCATTATCCGACAACAGAGTTGAAATCAAATTATGCCTTGTGATGGTATTTATTGAAATATTGGAGGTAATGTTAGAAGTACAACACAGAGAATGATTTTTAACCACTCCACAGCCCCAGATCTGTCCTAGGACCTGTTACCAGTCAGCTCTTCCTTGACCTCCCTCCACATGGCCAAAGGAAGTTCATCCTTGCTCCAAAGTTGACCTCGTCCCAGGATGATTATCAGTGAAGCCATCCACTCCCTCCACTCACCTCTTCAATAAATATTCATTGAATGTCTGTTATGTTCCAGGCCCTGTAGGGAGACATGGATGATATGGTGGGAACCAAAACAGACACAGCCCAGTCCTCATGGAGTTTAAGTCTAGATCTGAAACAAACATGCCAAATCTAAACAAATAATTATATAATCAAAAGTTGTTTAATGTTATTCGTTATAAAAAATGTCCTAAGTGCTATGAAGCCAAAATTGTGGGATGCCAGGGCAAAGTCTAACAGAAGGAGAGAGTCCAGATTGGGAGTCAAATAAAGCCAATCTGAACAACTAACATTTAACTTGGGACTGAAGGTGAGTAAGAATTCTCCCAGTGAATAGCTGGTCAAATAGCATTTCCAGGCAGCAGTGATTGCCAATAGAAGGCCTGGGAAGACTAGTTTGGCTATGGTGAAATGGAGGCAGAGTAATGTGTGATGAGACTGGACAAGAAGGCAGGAGCCATCCATGTAGGCACTGGAAGTCTATGGCAAGGATTTGGGATGTTATCTCAAGTATAACGGACTGCTGTTAAAGGGTGTCGAACCAGGGAGTGAATGGCATAATTTGATATTGAACATTTTACAGCCATATGGAGAAAGAGTGAAAGAGGGGATAAGAGAGAAGTTAGAAGATAGCTGGTGACTGTACCGGTGGCCTAAGCAAGAGAGGATGGTGGCTCAGATGATGATGTTGGCAGAAGAGATAGAGAAGTGGTTCATTTTGAGATGGGTTTGGAGTGGAACAGACATAATTTGATGATGGAATATGTGGGGGAGCACAAGGAGAGAGGAGAGTCAGGGTAGTGATCAAGGAGGGCTTCCACTTTCTGACTTGGGTGAGCTGGGCATGTGGTCTGATATCTGGGCACTGATAAGACAATCAGACGATTGTCACTACTGGTTCCCAACATCTGAGTTACTTGGTATTAAATATTCAACCTAAGAAGCATCAGTAGCCCAGGGACAGGCTCAGGCTAATCCCTTTTCAGTTTGTCTTTATTTTGTTTTACTTTTTTGTAGATTAGAAAATATAGTTTATTTTAAAGTAAATTAGAGAGAGAGAGAGAAGTGTTTATTTTATTTTATTATTTCATTTCATTTCATTTTAACTTATTTTAGAGACAGGGTCTCACTCTGTTGCCCAGGCAGTGCAGTGGCACAATCATAACTCACTGCAATCTCAAACTCCTGGGCTCAAATAATCCTCCCGCTTCAGCTTCCCAAGTAGCAGGGACTACTAGTGCATGCTACCACACCTGACTAATTTTTTTTTTACTGTTCTGTAGAGATGGGGTTTGGCTATGTTGCCCAGGCTGGTCTTGATTCCTGGCCTCAAGTGATCCTCCCACCTCAGACTCCCAAAAGCGCTGGGATTTCAAGTGTGAGCCACTGTACCCAGCTAGTTTGTCTTTTAAATGTTTATTTATTTATTTGTTTGTTTGCTTTTATTTTAAAAATTTAATTTTTTATTTTAAAGATATAGGGAACAATTCGGTACTAGACAGATAAGTTTGAGCCTCCCTTTGGTTCCCACTTTACCAGGTTTGAGATCAAGTACCCTTATGGATGTTATATGCCTCTCCCCCTGGCAGTGTCCTGCTTCTGCCAATCTCTTTCCTCCAGTTTTACGATAAATTTTCAGGGTTCATTTATGAGTGATAACATGTGATGCTCAGTTCTTTGTTTCTGTGAGAGAACACTGAGTATCATAGACTCTAAATCCATCCAAGTTGCTGTGAAGCCCATACTTTTGTCCTTCTTTATGACTGCGTAACATTCCATCATGTATATGTATCACAGCCTAGCAATCCAGCCTCACCCGTGGCCTCCCCCATTTTACCAGTTTTAACAAAATATTGTTTTTTTTCTTTAAAATTTCTACCCAAGCAATTACTAGGGTAAATATAGGAGAAATACAGAGGGAGAAAGAAAGAGTTAACTAGTTTATCATACTGATTAAAAGCAGGGCCTCTAGGATTAAATTCCAACTCTATCACTTGCTAGTGGAGGGGCCTTAGGCAAGTTCTATAACCTCTGTGACTCAGTTTCCTTATTTGTGAAATGTAGGTAACAGTTGTATCTACCCCCCCAAAATTGCCATAAGCTTAAGTGGATCAATTAAAGTCCATGTATTTAAAACAGAGGCTGGCACACCACAAGTATCCCCAGATGGCATTAGGTATTGCCATTTCTTTTTATGGAAGCAAACTTCCCATTTCTCCAGCACTGTGAGATCTCAGGAGATTGCTTTGCAGAATGGAATGCTATTTTATAGTCAGATAGATTTGATGTCAAGTCTCCACTTTCCTACTCAATCTCTCTGAGTCCTAGTTTTCTCACATGTAATATGAAGACAGTAATACCCACCTTGACTGGTTATTGTGAGGATGAAATCAGAAAGACCTGAGCAGTGTCTTATAAGTGGTGAATGCTCAGTAAATGTTAGGATTTTCTCCCCTCCTCAAAAGGAGTTTCCTTTCCTAATTTAAAGAGAGCATCTCCATCCTTTGTCACCAAGGAGACTCCAGTGGGAGAAAGGTGATTTCTTACAATTTACGACTAAGGTTATAGGGCTTCTCCTGCCCTCTCTCCCTGACATTATACTTTCTTGCCCTTTGGGGCACAGTATGGAGCTGTTTAAAAGACAGCAACATGAATGTGGACATCTTACATTCCAGAGGGAATGGTCCACAGAGATTCTGTTTGGCCTTCATGACATTCACATTTCCTACTGCTAGTCAGAATCTTTCCCAAGGCCATATTCCACTTCCTCTTCCTGCCCCTACTGTCACCTCAAACAGCTAGTGTAAGAAAACACAGGCACCAGCCCACAGAAAACATTCCTGGTTGTCCTGGAAAGCGAAGGTTCCTTGAGCTTCTGTTTTCAACACTGACAGCAAGGTTTCCTTTGGCACAGCCATGCGGATGGCAGTTAGCTCCGGACGCCTCCTCCTCCCACCTGTGTCCTCGTGGTGGCCTTCCCTGGACTCTTGGTCTTGCCCCTTTCGGGCTCACATGAGCCATTTGCATCCTTGACTGAACTGTTATGTGTCACTTGAGTAACAGTTGCGTTTTAAGACTCATTTCCAATGTGAGATGAAAACGCTGTCCCTCTTAAGGGAAAGGAAATCTTTTGGGAGCTGAGAGTCTTGCAGAAGGGTCCTTTCCTTCAGTCTTTGAAAGCTCACTCATCCTATGCTATGACTGATACTGGAAGGACAATGGCATATAAAGACATTCCCTTTGATAGGGCATAGACGGACTAGAGACTAGTGTCCAGAGACAAGAAGAAGATGTGCACATGACTGTCAACAGCAAGGTAAAAAAATGTTCCTGTAAGACTAACAGGATATCTTTGGATTTCAGGGAACAGATCCGTCAAGGCCTAGAAGAACTCCAGAAAGTTCTGCCGGGAGGAGACACTTACATGCATGAAGGATTTGAAAGGGTAATTGTTAAAGTTTTAATTCCAAATATAAATTATGATATTTAAATATTAAAATAAAATATTTTATCATGCTGTTAGGCTTATACTTAAATTTGTATATGGTATTGAACATCTATGTCAGTGTAAACATACATTCTTGACCACCTGAAACTGTATATTATCAAATCCATTTGACATATTGAGATATTTATTCCCACCCCGCATTTTTCACTATTATAATAATTACTGCCATGTTTTCCCATGTCTTTTTGTACTTGTGTATTATTCTATACCATGGCTTCATTTTTTAACTTTTAGATTTTTCCCACATCTGAAGTTGATATGATTATTGAGAATGATATGTAGAATTCAACTCCACTTATTCAATAACTTATATCTTTTTCACAATTTGAAATTTCTGTTTGAACATATTCTAGTCCCCGTATACTCACAAAAGTACATTAAGTATTTATTGATAGGGGATTGGATTAATAGCAGAACTCTAAAAGGTTAAAAAATATTCCTAAGTATATTTTTATATACAATCATCAGTGATACCTTTTCCCATTATATTTAAAACTGGTTCTTGTTGGTATGGAAGAAAGCTGTTGATCCTGATGTTTTATGATCTTCATGTTTGCTACCCTTGCTTTCTAGTAGTTTTTTAGTTAATTCTTAAATTTTCTAGCTGTATCATCATCCCAGACACATAATGTCAATTCTGCTCCTTTATCCAATTGTATTGATAAGCATTTCAGAACAATAGTAAATAACACTGATTATGAAAAATACATATCAACATAGAAGTAGCTGATGAAATAAGGCACATGTATTAAGGAGGCTGAAGAACACCCAATGGCAAGAAAGTTCAAATTTTTTTTTTCTCATAAGCTTTACTTGGACAATTCTATTGTCCAAGTAAAAACTAAAGAAATTAAATTCCTTCCTCTTTCCCTAACACTGATGAATGGTTTGTTAGCCAATGTTTGGCTAGCAGTCATGAATCATGCCACACACAAGTCGCTGCCATCTCCAAAGTGACTTTTGTTGGATGTCAATTTCAATGGTTGACACAGAATTTTAGTGACTTGAACTTTAAGGAAAACAAATGCTAAGCTATGAGAAATAAGACATTCAATCCATGTTCACAACTACAGTCATCTGTCACTTAATGATAGGGGTATGTTCTCAGAAATGCCTTGTTGGGCAATCTTGTCATTGTGCAAACATCCTGGAGTGTACTTACACAAAACTAGGTGGTATAACCTACCCCATACCTATGCTATATGGTCTACCATATTGCTCCTAGGCTAGAAACACTTACAGCATGTTACTGTACTGAATATTGTAAGCAGTTGTAACACAATGTATTTGTGTTTCTAAACTTATCTAAGCATGAAATAGGTAATGCATTGTACTATGATGTTACCACAGCAATATCATCAACAGGTGACAGGAATTTTTCAGCTCCATTATAATCTTAGGGCACCATGGATGTATATGTAGACTATGTAGCACATGACTGCATATCACTAAATGTGAGAGTAACTTTACATGGATATCATCCATTGATACTTGAGTGAAGCCTGGGTACATTACATAAAGAATCAGGATTGGAACTTGGCTGCATATCCAATGCCACAGCCCACTGCCCACTATGATATTTGTAGTGGCAAATAGTGATTATATGTCTAATGGCTTGTTCATATGTTTTTCAGGCCAGTGAGCAGATTTATTATGAAAACAGTCAAGGTAAGACTATAGTATGGATTACCATGTTGAATTATTTAACTTTTTGTGTGTTTGTTTCTGAAAAAGTGTTTCAATTGTTTCATGTTTCAAAAGACATGTATGATATTATCTGTAATTCCTGGACACACACTTCATCACAAAGAAGAAATGCATAGAAAAATGGCATGTACAGGGTCAAATTCCACTGTTCTATTGATGCCAAAAAAAGTTACCTAAAAATAATCAAGATCCTATTAAGGCCACAGTCTTTAATTCCCATGAACAATTTTGCATGTTGAATTTATTAAGTTAGTAAATACTTGAATAAGTTAGCAAAGTCTTGGATTTTTATGTCAAATTTAATTTTCTTGTCCTTCTCTAAGTTCCAAGCCTCTTCATTACTGTGATTGGATGCGATATTAAGATCAAGATACCAGTTTGGTTTAAACTTTTCTTCATTTAAATAAAAACATGAATAAAATATACTTAGTACTGAGTGGCTAGCACATAAAAATTATTACTGTTATTTTAGCGATTATTATTTCAGTGTCTTTCATGGATATCATTTCTTTATCTTCATGGACAGCATTTCTTTATTGCAGGTAAATCTCTTAAAAGAAATTCAATATTATGGTGGGGATTTCCCACCCAGGTCTATAGAGGTGTCCACTTTCTGTTTCATTCAAAACTGCAACAAAAAGAACAGACCCAGTATCAATACCAAATCTTACTAATATAAATCAACCATGAGCATTGAAGCTAAAAGCCTAAAAATCACTGAAAGAATTCTAGTAGGTTTGACCAGCTGCAATAATTCTTCCAGCCAACTTTATAAGTCATGACAACTATTAACTTTTTGCCAAACTGTCTTCAAGGAGTGATGTATGTGGTCACTTACAGCAGGTGACAAGGATCAATGAACAGCCCAGACCAGATTTTGCTCTCAGGCATGGGTGACAGTTGCATGGAGTGTTAATAAAAAAATAACCACACTTAACTCACCAGAGTTACTCCCAGCTGTTGGTTCAGTAACCACTTCACCAGATTTGGTCATTTTTTGAAATGAGGCTGAGAAACCCAGAAGCAAAACCTATTTCTCCTAGACTCTGTCCCCATGGAAGTTTCTTTTCATGCTGGAGCTACTTTGGGACCAAAAAGTTTGTGATTCTCACAATATTGACTTCAGGTTGTTGAGCTTATAAGAGATCAAATCTGGGCTGAAAGGGGGGTTTCCCTGAGTGGAGCAGGGTGGACTGAGCCGGTCTGTGTTGTGTTAAACAGGATACAGGACAGCTAGCGTCATCATTGCTTTGACTGATGGAGAACTCCACGAAGACCTCTTTTTCTATTCAGAGAGGGAGGTAAGCGGCAGCATGGCCTGATTCTAAACACATACATGGAAACAGGGCTTCTTCTTTCTGAAATGGGTTGTACTCTCTCTACTCAGGCAAAATGATAAATGTTTTTTATAAAACCCCTGAATGAAATAGTGCTTCATATGTGGATATAATAATAATTCATTTTTAAAGTGAATTTTCATGTCTTATACATGGTAGATGTTTTTTCTCTTTCAGAAGGTTTGCATATTACTATTTTAAGGGATAAAAAATATCTGTCATGTCTTTATTGAAGGCCTTATGTTTCTCTAGCAGTTTTGAAATATTGTATATAACACTTTTGAATAAAAAGTGGTATCATTTTTCCTCCATTTTTCACTTATATTTTCTACTTAAACAAAAGGAGAAAGAATTACTTGAAATATGTAACAGCAAATATTGTCAGACTATATTAATCATTGTGATTCTCACAAGAACCAAAGTTGAACAGAATTGGTAGCAAAGTTAATTGTAATCTCTCCTTTAATATTTTTTTCTTTTACTTTGTGTTCTGAAAAAAATATTCCTAAGGCAAAAAAAAATATTCTCTAAATGAATACTGTAGTTTGTCTAAAGAGACTTAGAAAGCAAGGTTTCCTCAAGAATTGTCTAGTAATGTTTATACTTAGGAAATCCTTTCTTTTCAAGTTTTAGCTTTGAGCTGTATGTATAAATGACCTAAAGCTGTATGTATAATTGGTATAAAAGGAATCAGGTTAACTGTGAACATGTACTGAAGCCTCATTAGTGACAAAGCTCATTCAGGCCAAGGTAGAGAGAAACAATAGGGGAAACAGCAGTATGGGAGGGAGATGCTGGCTCTGGGAGAGGAGTTAATTGTAGCACTACACTTACCTCATGCTCTTGACTACTATTTAATTTAAATTCAGCTCCTTCAGCAAACACAAAGCATATATTCATTCATGCATGCTTTCATCCATTCATTCAGCAATAGCAAGAGCTTGACCCATACGATGGCCTCTTGTATACCTAATGCTGAATTGTACCCCACAACTTTAAAATAAAATAAAAATTTTTTTAAAGAGCTTGGCGTATGCTGAACAATTTGCTAGACACTAGAGACAGAGAAGTGAGTGAGACAGGAGCTGTTCTCATGGGTCTTACCATAAAATAATTTACCATGAAGTAATGGTCACATTTTTAAGTCTCTGCTGGCAAAGGGCATAGAGAAATTATGTAAGTAAACATATTAATTCCCTTCTCCTCCTAGTAATACAAAGTGTAACTCACAATAGGGAAACACACAAGTTATTATGACACACTCCATGAGCATTTGAAAATAACATTTGTCTATATTTGAAAGTAGAGACTATGTGATAGGAGTGCAAAATGGCTTGTTCGGGCACCAAATAACAGTCAAATAAAGTAAAAATCCTAATAAGGAAAGAACTGGAGCTAACATAAATGATGGGTGTCTGAAGCTTAAAATAGGGATTAGTAGAAAGGAATTTTAGGTATGGCTCATACAAACTTGGAAAAATACTCAGAGTGCCAAAGCCAATAGTAAGAGGCTTTCCAGAGAAGAATGATAAAGCTCAAGATATAAAGAAAGTGAACCTTTCCATTCTTGGCAAATCTATATAAAGCCCAACTGGAGAAGAAGAATCACAGAGTTGTTTTTGATAAGGCTGGGGGCTAAACTGAGTCTAAAATTTTATTTTATTTTGAAAGCAGCAGAGAATATTTCTAATGTGAAAGAAAAAAGACATATGTTTCTGTCCCTTCTAGAATTCAGTGTTAGACACAGTGGGTTTGAGTACTAAACACACACACACAAACACATACACACAATTTAAATCAATATGCATATATTGAGCATTTACTGTATATCTAATATCAATTACTTATTAAGCACCTACTGTATGTGCCAAGGATCTCCAATTTTTATTTTCTGTTCTGAAGTAGGATAATCAGATATCAAATATCTGACCTTTTAATAAATTAAATATTAAAACTGAGGCAAAACCTGGATGTTATTATGTTGCCCTCTGAATGCTTAATTGTAGAGAAGCCATGGGCTTACTATTCAAACTGGATCACCATTCCCATACTATTAAACCAGTTTATTCTGTAAGAATGAAAAGGCCTTATTCACAAAGTGTGCTAAAATTTGAGTGTGAGGGGCTCCCATGTGAGGAGCTCTGTATGTGTTATCTCCCTTAGCCCCCAGTGCACTTTACAGAGCAAAGCCAGGTGGGAACCCCAGGTGTATTGGGTTCCAAAGGCCACATTCTTTCATGATACTATACTGTCATTACAAACAAATATCAGTAAAAATTTGTCAGAGAAAGAAGAGGTCATGGTTTCCCTAGATCATCTGACTTATCTTAGCCTGCAGGGTCTTTTTCTTCCCCTCATCTTTCAACGACCTTTGTTAAGACTCTACTTCAGTGAGTCTTTTTCAACACTTACCATTGGAATAGCCACCCAGGTCCTCCATGCATTATGTTAGAATGTGATGTCCACTGAAGTATAGAGACCGGGATCACCTTTTCTGGTACAGTACCTGACACATGGTAGATGCTTGTTAAATACCAGATCATTGAAGTTAGTCTGGCAGATCCCAAAGGAGGTTTTTTTTGTCATTGCTTCTTTTTCTAATGCTCTCTTTTTTTTCTTTTTTGACCCAGGCTAATAGATCCCGAGATCTTGGTGCAATTGTTTACTGCGTTGGTGTGAAGGATTTCAACGAGACACAGGTATGATCCGGATTTCCTCAGATTTGGAGCATACTGAGGTTGTGATTGATGGGAAACATGCACAGTCAGTGCAGAGATTGTATCCACAGGATAGATGTCTCTTAGATAGGTTACTTTTCTAGAAATACTAATCAGAAAGGAATTGCTGGATGCGTAAGAGATATATAGTCATTTGCTGATGGACTTGGGGGTCTTCAACACAGACCATCAAGGCAGCATATTTCTTAGTAAACTTTAAATGGCCAAAATGTCAGAAGAGGTCTGAAATAACTTGGAAAACGTATTTGTTTGTTTTTTTAATTTAATTTGACAGATGGGATTTACTTATTCAAATGAAAAACAATCCTTGGGAATCTATGGGGGGGGACAGGGAGGGCAAGGATGGTGGGATTAATGGTAGTCAATATCTGTCTGGGGATGGGGGGACACCCTTTATCAACAAGGGTGCCTGAACGATGCATATTTGTATACCTAGCCCTTAACTGTACCCCATAATTTTAAAATAAAAATATGTTTTTAAAAAAAAGAAAAACAATCCTTTCACCCATTAAGAATGCAATGTATTTTCAATATAAGAACATGGAAATAATTGGGCAAGTGGGCAAAAATGTGTGTACAGGTACAGATAAGCAAGTTGCAAAAATTTGTTAGCAACCTAAATAAATATTCCTCTTTTTGTTTTAATGGCATAGGAAAATGCTCATGATATATGCAGTTAACAAAATGGGATTGAAAGCAGTAGGAATAGCATGTGTTCACTTTAAAAATAAATATGTGGGCCAGGCTCAGGGCTCAGCCTGTAATCCCAACACTTTGGGAGGCCGAGGAGAGGGGATTGCCTCAGCCTGCAGGTTCGAGACCAGCCTGGGCAACTTGGCGAGACCTCATCTCTACAGTAAATCAAAAAATTAGCCGGGCAGTGGTAGTGCATGCCTGTAGTTCCAGCTACTGAGAAGGCTGAGATGGAAGGATCGCCAGAGCCCAGCAGGTCAAATTGGAGTGGCCGTGAGTGTGCCACTGCACTCCCTGGGCAATGGAGTGAGACTCCAACTCAAATAAATAAATATAAAAATGTGTATATTTGCATAGAAAAAGCATAAAAAACTGGATCTATCAAACTGTTAGTAAAGATAGATGGATGGATAGATAGGTGGATAGATAGTATTATGATTAACTTTTGTTTTCTTTTTATTTTAACTCTCCTGGATTTTCTTAAGTTTTTGCAGTGAGTAAGTATGACTTTTTCAATCAGTAAAATATCCCCCCCAAAATATTTTTTTTTAAACCATGCATGCTGGCCAGCACTGTGGCAGTTGCAGAATCTACTTCAGAGATGCGAGGCAGACAAGCCCACAGATTACCTTCTCCTGGCCCTCAGTTCTCCCTCTGTAGACCAGGAGCAGCCAAACCAACTGCAAAGGCCTTTCCTTCATGAGCAATTTGGGTGAAAAGTGAGGGTCCCCACTCGTTGGCCATACCCACCACCAAAGCCTGAATTTATTTTTAAAGTTTCTCTGAAAGGGAACTTGAGTCTATTTAATTTAAATAAAATTGCCAATAGGAATTCGGATGAATGGGAGAAAATGAGCCCATGGCCTGTCCCCAAGTTCATAAATATATCAACACAGGCCAAATGCTCATCATGCTGGTTACACTTACCTTTACTCCCAAGGAGAAAGTATTAAAACAAATGTAAAAACTGGAGCCAACCTTCCGGGCCTGCTCCAGGGCGGCTGATGGTAAGCTCATTATTACTGAAGACTTTTCAGGGAGGCCCCTGAGCCCAGTGAAGACTTCAAGGTCCTCTGGGTTCTGAAAGTAGGTAGTGCCCCCTGACCCCAGTGGCTTTCCTAAATTCTCCACATTCAAGCCTAACACAGCTCTGTGTGTGTCTGTGTATTTTCTGTGTTCTCAGCTGGCTCGGATTGCAGACAGTAAGGACCATGTGTTTCCCGTGAATGACGGTTTTCAGGCTCTGCAGGGCATTATCCACTCAGTGAGTAGAGCACTTTTTCTGAGACTGGACATCCAGGCACCTTCTGCCCTGATCTGCTATTAATACCCCAGTTCCATCTTTTTAAGGCTGGTGTTTTCCTGCTTGAGAGAACATTCCTTCATATATCTTTTTGTCTACCATGTCCCACTTCTCCTTTTTGCTTTCTACTCATGTTTCTTTTCTCATTCTCCTGTGCCAATTCTTCCCTACAATGGAAAATTTAAAATGGAAGGGGGCACTTCTCTGACAATGAGCCAAGCTTCAGATAGCCCTCTCAGTTCAGTTCTCATTCTGGGCAAACTGGCTGACTGTTTACACTTGTCTGACCTCAGCTTTCACAGCCGTGACTGAACACAACTGCCTTCTCAGCATTTGCAGACTGGATCTATATCTCTTGGCTGCTGCACATACTTTAGACCAGACTGCTGCCCACTGAAATCACCTGCAGAGCTTAAAAAAAACGCCACTGCCTGGACCTCTGGTCTAGGCTGCAGTTGAAGCTTCAGAAATTTTTAAAATCTCCCCAGGTGATTCTAATGTTGAGCCAAGGTTGAGAACCACTGCTTTATCCTGTAACCCCCAAATATGTGAGCTCCAGTGTCCCTCAGTGTTTGCACAGTCAACGTCTCTCCTTCACCTACATGGGTGGTTTTCCATAGTCCTTTTCTGGATGGCGAACAGGACACTGGCTTCCAGGACTTCCCTTCTCTGCCTTCCACACACAGGTCAGGCTCTTGGTCCAACTGGAATATTGGATGTTACTGGCCCTCAAAACCTTGGCTGGTAGGTCAGTGTGCATGCTACACCTGCAATGATGGTCAGAGGCACTGAGGCCTCCTCCTTTAGGTTTTTGACCAAGCAGACATCCCACAGTCTTCACTGGAAGCTCACCAGGTCCCAGACTTGAGGTCCAGGATGCTCATTTGGAGCTCAGAGGATCACTGTGCTCTTAAAATTCCAAGGGGGCCTTGATTCAGGGGTTGCCAACCTAGGGGCTCAGGATCTACCAGCTCCCTCAGACCAACCTGAAAAACCTCCAGCATGGCTGTGCCTCCATGCTGCCTCTCCCTCCAAGGTTTGCTAGAAACTCCAGCAGAGTGAGAAGGAAGAACCTTGGAGCTGGGCAGCCCAGAGTTTAAATGCTGGCTCATGCACTTACCATTTACAGATCCTTGGACACTTCTTTCTTTGTTTGGAAAGGGGAACTGCTGATGAGATTTACATCATAGGCTTGTTTGAGGATTACAAGGATTACTAAGGAAAATACCTAATATTTTTCCAGGCACATAATAGGTACTCAAGATATATGAATTATTTCCTCTTCTACTTCCCTTTCCCATCATATGAGGAACATTAATGTCAGCTTTTCTTGATTCTCTAAATTGTCTTGAATATACTTTAAAATAACCTGGGAGTCATGTTTGCAATACCTATTCCCAAAAGATTATATTGTAGTCAGTTTGGAATGGGTCCAAGGAATCTGCCTATTTTAAATCTGTATTTTTTAAAAAGCACTTCAGGTATAATTTTAGAACAATTATACATATAACTTTAAATGTTCAAAATTTTGAAAAATAATCTCACCTCAGATTGGGAGTTCTAACCTTAAATATGTACAGATGATAGTTGTCATTCAATGTGTTTGTTTGCAAAGAGTAAAAACCACTCAAACTACTTTAAACAGGAAGTATAAATTATTGATAGGATAGAGAGGTATCAGACCCAATTATAGATCCACAAGTGAAGGACATCTGCTGTAAATTATTTTTCAGGTCACTGTGGCATACTTGATAATAGCAGCAGCATGAACTATAACAACCATATAACACAACAACCCAAGGATTGCAAAACACGGTTGACTGCAGGATTTGTGCTGATCATGAAACCTTTAGAAGTTCAGAAGTGGATTATACTGGGTGGGAGCCTTTATGAGAAGGCAGGGAAGACCTGAATCATTGAAAGACTGGGTGAGACAGGTTGGTAGTGCCAAAGGAGAGATGCTATGACCTCAGATCAGAGACTGGAAAAGAGCAAAGCATATTTGGACAATAATAGTAATAATACCTATCTGTTTGGTGGGACAATCTTGGCAAAAAAGCCAAGGTCATGGAAAATAAACCTAGACATTGTGCTGGATTGACAAAGGCCCTGAAGGGATTTCGACTCCAACTTAAGAGGGAGTGTATGTAATCACTGAAACAAGTGACGTTTAAGAAGATAATCTGATGGCAGTGTCCGTGGATGTAGGAATAAGACGGGACACCTAGAGGCAGTAGCCCAGGCAGGAGTCAGTAGTCCTGCCTTCAGACAGTAGCATTCCAAACAGGGCCAACTCTTATCTGTCCAAAGGTTCTTATGAGCCATGTGCCTAAGATTTGGTTCCTACACAGATAATTAGAATCTTTTTAGTTGCATAAATCAGTGTTGTCGTTGGATATTTCAGCCTTAGCAACTCACCCAAACTCAATATGAGCCATGATGTTTGTAAAACTCCCCCCACTATCAAATGGAAATAACACCAAAGATGTGCAAGAAATTTTAGTGAAATAGCCTTCCAAAAGTGAATAAATTAATTTGAGATTCCAGTATTAATACTTTTAACTAAATGACAACATTCTTTTGAGCTTTTACCTGGGAGTTATGCTAGTGGTTTTGATCCTTCCAAGACTCGAAACTCATGTGTAGGGCAGTTGTTAATTGGTTTGCTTGAACAGAGAAACAGGGATAAGCACAGCAGGGCTCATCTTTCTCAAATCAAACAGAAATAAATATGACCTGAAAGTTGACTAACTATTTTCAAGAAGTAGGTTCATTCCCCCTTTTGGAGACTGGAAAGCAAAACTCTCACCCTCCGCCACCCCCCCTCCCCCGCCAACCATTTGAAGCATCTATTCCAGCTTGCAGCTTATTCCCATGGATCTTGTTCTGTAACTGGTTATTTTCTCAGAATAAATAGGACTGAGCTTAATTATCCCAAATAAGATTGCAAAGAAGCCTCTAATAAGCTGAAATGGTTCACAAAGTTTTCTACCCCAAGTGTCCATATTTTTAAGTCTCAAATTAATTTGCCGGGACTAGTATTTATTTATTCACCAAATACTCGTTGTAAACCTTTATGACAGGCTCTAGACCATTCAGTAATAACTAAAGCAGATAGAGACCCTGTGCTGGTAGAGCTTACAATCTAGTGGGAGAGGATAGAGTAGACAGGTTAGAAATATCGGGACTATAGAAACTATAGGACAATTCAGAAACTTATAGAGATGCTTTTAAGGGCTGCACCAATTTCAGAGCTACTAGAAGATTTCAGAAAAAAAACCTGTTAAAATAACTCTCACCCAACATGCCTGCTACAGCCTACTCAGGATGTTTGTGGTTGAGAGCCGACCACCAGACAGGGCACAGTTGGTGAATCCCCCTGGACATGGGCACAAATAACCAAGTTGACTTGTCCTAACCTTTATCTTCATTATAAACTCATTAGCATACAAAATGACATTCCTTCTAACACCATGACAGTTCTGACCCTGCCCATTTATAGTAATAAATTGGGTGGCACCCCAATTCCGGGAATTACCCACCCATCTCTTAGAAAATCCACGCTTTAATGGAATATTCTACCCCTTCATTATTGTAGCATACAATACCATGAGCAAAAGTCCCCCCCAGCACAACACTTTTCTTGTGTCCACCTGCACTTTTCCCTAAATTGAGGTGCAATACTCTGTTACTTCCACTTTTAATAAGCTTGCCAACTGCCTTGCTATGTTCAATTCGTTCTGAAATTATTTTCTTAGACAAAGACAAGAACCTGGCACAGAACACTGGTAACAGACACAGAATCCTGGTAACAAGAGAGACACATTAAAAACAAGTAAATAAGTAAATGTGTGTGATTTAAATTGTGATCAATGGTATAAAAGAAAGAACGTGCTCCTGAGATTAAAAGAGGCGACAAAGAACCCAAGCTCCTTTGATCTGAAGGGTGAAATGTAGCCAACCAATGGAAGAGCATGGATGGAGTGTTCTTGGCAGAGTGTGGCCCTAAGATGGTGCATAGGAGAATGAAAGAGCAGAGCTTAAGGTGGAGAATGGCAGAAGATGAAATAAAGAAACAGGCAGAGGCTAAATTGCCAGATCTTTGAAGGTCATATATTTACTCCAAGGACAATGGGGAGCTAGCTATAGCCAGATAGAATCTGACAACAGAGTGATCAGGCTTGAAATCAAGACTCAGGAAATCTAGATGTCATGGCACTTTGTCCATATTCCCTGTGGATGATGAATAAACACTCATGCCTGCGAAGAAGAAAAACTACCATGACTTGTTAAGCATCTTCTCTCCACCAGCTCCTCCACTGGGCACTTCATTGCTGTCCTCTGAAAAAGGATTTATTATCCCCATCTTATGAATGAGGAAATTGAGGTGCAGGAAGTTTGGACAAACTGCCTCAAGTCCACCCTCTCATAATGGTGAAGTGGGGAATTTGAGCACAGGCCTAGCTCTGGAGGTCCTGCTTGTTCCATGCCACTTGACCATGAACGTCTGAGGAAATGAAAAATCACCACTGCATTACCAGAGCTCATTACCCAGGCTTGGCCTCATCTAGTCCCCAGTCTCTCTACTTCGTCAGTCTGGTGCTTGTGTTTTGATCTTTTCACTGGTTTTCAATCCTCTCCTCTTCAGGAAGAAACACTTATTTGTCAGGTTTGTATAATGTATTATTTTTCAAAGTGCTCCTACTTGTTTTCCATTTTAGTTTCTCAACCATGGGAGACAGGGAAAGGGCAGAAGGAAATTAACTGTCGAGAAGTTACTTTGGAACCAAGCATTGTCCTATTATCCCATGTAAAAATGCTATGAAGTAATATTTATTCCTGTTTTACACATGAAGAAACTGAAGCTCAGATAAACTGCCCAAGAGCCCACAACACTAATAAAGAAAGCAGGGTCGCATCCCAGTCCCATGACTTCAGAGCCCGCTATTTCTCCAACCTAT